CTAAAGTATATGGGGACACCACCAGCACGAAATTCTGGATCTGCCGTTGTATGTATGTCCTTAAGGTCTAAATATTCAAAAACCTAAGTTTTTCTGCTCAGATTTAATTGAAGAAAAATCAATAGCTGGAGAAATGGTGTTATATTGAGGAAAAAGATGAAGTATCCGGGTCATGTATGACTATGGTAAGCAAAAGACCAGTTCACAGGTACAGGCATAAGTATCAATGTATGTATTAATTGTAAATATTCAAAACCCAAAAAACTCTCTAATTAAGAAAGACTTCAAGAAATAGCAATAACCAGGACATAAGATAATGACACGATATTGAGCAAGAGATGAATTTACAGATTTGTGGATTCAACTATCATGTGAGGCAGCAAAATATGCAGGGAGGGCAGGACCGTTGGGAGGCAGACATTCTGTGGCTGAATGATAAATCGTTAATTGAGTTCAGAAGAATGGGAAAGAAAAATTCAGTTGTCACAGTACAAAGCAAACAATCACAACCGATTGTTTCTTTGAAACGGACGTCGGTCGAATATTCCAGCCATACAATCAAACTTAACCTCTTCCCTTTGAAACTGTTTATTCTACTCTTAACATCCAGTGACAGCAATCCATGTTGAGTCAATTCGGTTGTAAGCTCACCTCGGCTTCGTCAGCTAGGCAGCTATTAGCATCTTATAAGCTATCCAAACACATTTGTTTCTTTGCATATCTTCACTAGTCAATGTCAACGATCTCACCATCTCTGACCCACAGCATATTACCAACTTCACTTTCAGTGTGATCCTAGGACTCGACATACCGGTATGCATTGGAACCTCGGTTTCAGGCATTCAATAAAGGCTGCTTAGGGGTTGAAAATTTGGTAAAATCAGCAGGGAAAGAAGCTAAACCAAGACATTCAAGCTTCGTCACAAATGTGATGGTGATAAGAGGTCAGCTATGATATTGAACCCACAGGTACCCATAGAAACAGTACAGGGGACATATAGGTTATTGCACATCGCCCCAGAAAGAGCCATCATAAGAGATTTTTGGCACTTATATTAATGATGAGAATAATGACGAACAATTGCAAACAACGATGGAAAGTTCCACGTGTACAGAGAATCATTAGGCCATGTCAAAAAATCAGTTGTCTAATCACTATATTGACTAGTACCGCGTGCAATGCCTATGTTTCTAGTCATTTTATCTCAAAACTGTTAACAGGTCGATAGAAGGATATAGTTCTCTTGCTTCACAGTAAGATGAGGTAAAAATGAAGTGGAAGGATTAGAAAATTCCCAGAAGCATTAGAATATTACTTAATGTTGCGCAAGATGCAGAAAACGAAATCTACAAAGAAGACAGTCTAATTTCAACTTCTAGAAACTGAGCACTAGAAGGTGCATGTGAATCACATATAAGGATCTAAAGCTAATAAGAAAAGATTGATATGAACCCACAATTTTCAGGTAATTAGGTATGCCTCACAGCTAGCCTTAAGAGGCTACAAATTACTACTCGAGGAAGTAAATCCTCCAAGATGTTGGGAATCACTGATCTATATGAATTCAACAAAATCCCTTAGCTAAGACAAGTGATTTCGTTACCCTTGTCTAGTCCAGCGTAAGAGTTTGATATACTAGTACTTCTTCTAATGTGTCCATCTACTGCGTATGCAAGTCTAGGAAGAAGAAATTTTTCATTTGGAAGGAATAACAGAAAGGAGAAACTATTTAAAGAAAAGGGTAAACCGTAGTTGAACTGAACCAGTCAGTGGAAACATAAATTTCAAAGGATATCTTAACCTTTGAATCCAATCAGCTCTGTAATTATTTCGATGGTATCCTCATTAGATTTTGGGCAGAGAAACAGAAAAGGAAGAATACCTCTAATACGCAAATCCCCCTAAGTACAATGAGGCAGCCATTCTCATATATTAAAATCTAGTTACCGTTACTAGAAATTCCCATATCCATTTACTAGACTTTCTAACCTCGGATGAAATAACGTCTCCAACAAGAAAATACTACCCTGTAATATCTCATTGACCCGATGATTACTTGATCTAAGCTCCCCAATTTGGTGACGTAGCGCATCAGGAGGACCTTTTATGGGACAGGGTTAATCATCCTTTAAATACAATATAGATATTTGTAACAGCTCATATAAAAAGATCACAAATCAGGTTGTCTGTCCGTTACCGGACCTACTGACTGACTTAATTTAGGCACAACTTGATTTCACATTGGTTCACAAATTGAGCGTATTAGTTACCTCACAGGTTAGCAAATAACTATTAAAAAAAACAGTTTATTATTCAGATCTATTTCATACAGAGTGGTGACCATGAAAGAGATAACAGTCACAAGAAACGATGACATGACTCGCAATACTTGTTGACACATTAAGACACCACGTTCACAAAGATAACAGAAGATTGCAATATCAATGGAAGAATATTAACGGCATCACACAGATCAACTCTGTCGGTGACAAGCCTGGCTAGATTAGTTCAAACTATATTGTAATAGGAGCATCCATGGTCCTTTTCAAACCTATTAGACTTTAAGATTATGAAATTCAACAAATATAAGGGATGCAAGTACAAATATATAAATTTAAATACAGGCCAAGTCTCCAAAAATAGCCTTTATTTACAGTTACCTGCAAGTTCGTAGTTAAAATATCTATATGCTGCACCATGTAGCCGTTAGCAAATGGTTAATGGTATTATCATGGGCCATAATTATAAACCTAATCAGTATTATATATTTGTGAATGCATTACTTCATATTATGGGTATGAATATGAGGTATGCATCATCCAATGGCACAAATATGCACGCATGTGCCAGGGGGGTGGGGCTTCATGCTTTGGAAGAATCTCTTCAATAATTAAGCAGGGATTACTGAGTATCTTAATCATAAAATAGGCATATAAATATGCATTTCATAATATTGCTATACTAAGAACTATGATAATAGAAAGTTTCATCTTTTTTCCAAAAAATGGAAAGAAAACTTAGTTAAAAGAAATGACCACAATTATAACTCCAGATTTTGAAGCTTAGATACCAATCTCAGAAACTACAATCTTCTATGCTACATACTAAAGTAAGAACCTAAATCTCCACTGGTCAAATTTCTATAGCATTGTCTCTACAACTTCCATTGGTTATTTTGAAACTCTATATCATACAAAATGGGATATTTATCTTTTTGTATTATACTAAAATGACAACTACTAATTAAGGAACACGAACACAATTAAAGTTTTCAGAGTAAAACCAGCTTCAAAGTGTTGACTCTTAAGTTTACGAACTTAGAACTCTCCCAAATGAAGACAAAGAACTTACTTTTATTTCTTCATTTTTTTCTTGATGAAACAAGGATTACAATAGCCCTTTATATAGGCTTCAAAAACAAAATGTATAGGCATACCAATAGTCACAAATTAAACTCCTCTTTTAATGTCACAAAGATAAAATATCATAAAGGAGTGAGTAACTCTTATTCTTCCATAACCTATATCTCTTCCCCTTCTAAACTTATGACCCTTGAAATTCTAAAACTCATACTATTAACCTCATTTATTCTAATATTTTAATTTTATATTCCAATACGCCCCTTTAAATCAAAATATCTTTATGCCAAGCATGTCTCTTAGCCTCATGAAAGTTTCACCTGAGCTTGGTGAATATGTCTGCTACTTGTTCAGTGGTGTGACAATACTTCAATTCAACGGTTTTCTGCTTTACATGGTCTCTAAAAAAATAAAATTATATATCTATGTGTTTGCTCCTCCCATGATGTACTGGGCTCTTTGCAAGCTGGATGGCTGATTTGTTGTCCACAAAAATTACGATCGGGTCTTCTTGTGGATGATCCAACTCCTTTAATATGTTTCACAACAAAATTGTTTCACATACTATAGATGCAGCCACCACATACTCTGCTTCACATGAAGATAAGACTATAATTCCTTGTTTATTTGAGGTCCATGAAAATACAGTTGACCCAAGATAGAAGACATAGCCTATGGTACTTTTCCTCTCATCTTGGTCACCTTTTCAGTCACTATCTGAGTAACCAACTAGTTGTGCATTTTCAGCATATGCATAGAAGAGACCCAGGTTGAGTGTGCCTTTGATATACCTTAGTATCCTCTTCGCAGCTAGCCAGTGAGACTCCTTCGGTGTCTCCATGTAACGACTCATAAGTTCGACTCCATAAGTAATATCGGGCCTTGTGATCGTCAAGTATCTCAGGCTGCCAACTAGACTTTTGAAAAGAGTTGAATCCATGAAACGTTCGTCTCCTTCTCTTGAGAGCTTCATTCTGATGGCTATTGGGGTGTTCATAGGGTTGCATTCATTCATTTTGAACTTTTCTAAGATCTCATTCATGTAATTCTTCCGGGATATAAAAATCCCCTCTTGCTACTGCTTCACTTTAATGCCAAGAAAATAGGACATCAATCCATTGTCTGTCATCTCAAATTCATTGAATATTGCCGTCTTGAACTCAACAAGCATCTCGGTATTGCTTCTTGTGTATAATAAATCATCAACATAAAGATAAATTATTAGAAATTCGCCTTTATAGTTCCTCTTCATGTAGATGGCATGTTCATATGGACATTTAATGAAGCCGTTATGATGAAGATAGCCATCAATTCGGTCGTTCCACGCCCGTGGTGCCTGCTTTAAGCTATACAAAGCTTTCTTCAAATGGTACATTTTGTCTTCTTACCCTTTCACAAGAAAGTCTCCTAGTTGTTGCACGTACACCTCTTCCTTAAGAAC